TACTGTGGCATTTTAAAGGGCAGTGGTGGTCGCACCACATTCTATCCAAAATTGGACGCATAGTTACGTACAAATTTGAACATGTTAATTCACAATCCTGTGTCAACTAACAAGTATCCTGTGCACTTCAACAAGCTATCAGTTCTCACAAAGTGACATCTATCAGTGAATAGATCTAAGTCAATAGATTTGGTTTTATTGTAGCACATATTAATCCTGTAATGGGATTGACAGATTTTAGGGTTCAATCCCAGGTAGAATGTGAACTCTGGTGTCCCAATTCTTGAGCAGGTGGGAGTAGTTTATACAATAGGAGTACTTATAACCACTCTACTCTGGTAGACAATCCATTGTAACTAAGATATGTGACATTCATTAAAATACACATGGCCGAACAGTTACTTTTAAATCCATGAGTGAAAACTCTTTATAGTGATTTACTTTCAACAGTTTTATTTAATAGACTGAGCTCTCGCTATGTAAACTGAAAACCTGTCTAAAGACCTTTCCAGTACATTTTCTAATGGTTTTTGTAATGAATGCAATATATAAACTCAACAAATGGAAATTATTTATAGTTTTGCTATATACAGTTTTCACATACATTATATATTATAAATGAACCTATAACCTTTTGTCCATTTTAACATTCTGTCAATTTAATGCCAAACTAATAAAAAAATAAGATATAAAAAAAAAGATTGAAATAAAATTTGAGCAGAAATAATGCTAAGGAACCATAATGACTAAAGCATGCCTTGTGTAATATGCATGTTTTATAATAAAATATGAAATGTGTTAATGTTGAAAATAGTCACAGACTGCTACATATCACTGTTAACTTATTTGCCACACCTAATAATTAAAATCCATCCATTTTTCTAAAAGTTTGCCTTTTGTGTTACAGAATGGAATATTGCTTAATTACAACTTTAAAGAACATTTTACATTTTTTTTAGTTTTGTATATGGTATTATATGTGGAAAAAAAATATATTAAATGAGATAAATAATATTAGTATATGAATGAAAATTATTTTAAGCACATATTAGGCCATGCAATATGTGTTTTATAACACATTACACGTAGAATTGCCAGAGGAACGTGCATAGATCGTCTGTCGTCTTATTCTTGACGTCTGCTAGCAGTGTCCTGATTTCTTTACAAAACGATGTAAAAACGCTTCTAGAAAACCTGATTGCGTTCTTCGTCTTCGGTGAATCTTTATTTTCTACTAGTGTGCAAAGTTCTTCTGAACTGAAGCTAAATCGTCCAGTCTTTCGAGGCGGACTATCGATTTAGTTTATGTACTAGTCTCCCCAGGGAACTACATGTAGTAATTTCCCTGGCACTACTATGGTAATTTAGCCCATAACACGGGATCCTGTGTTGACCAATTACAGTAAAGTATTAACGATTGATGTGTTATAATAACTACTATGACATTCTCTGTTTTTGTACACTGTATTACCGTATGTTGTGTGGATATATTTAATATTTACATATCTAGTTAGATCTGTCTTGGAATATCTATTATTGAAACTTGAACTTGAAACTTGATTTATAAAAGTCCAGTGTGGATACTACTTTGTTGAGGTAACTATTGTCTGCATGCCTTAGGCTATAATTAAAAGGACACCTAGCTGTTTATATAGCCTAGATTGCCACCAATTCAGAAAAAAAAAAAAAAACAGTTATATTGTGGTTTTCACTCTAAGTTTGGCAGCCTTCTCAAAATGCCCTCAATTCTGAGCATAGATAAATTGGGGCATTGACTTTGAATTCATAATTTAAGTTAGCCATACAAATAACATGTTCACTGAATATCTTTAAGCCTGATTGCGTTTAAATGCAATGATATTGACAATAGTGCTCTTGACAATGTGATTAGATTAAAGGTTGAATGTTTGCTTTTATAGTGTATCAACAGAAAGGAAATCAATAACTATTAGGATGAATATATAACAACCCTTTCTCACAATTGAGGCTATTGCTTTACTACGAGTTGGGTTACTAAATAATTACTAAACCTAGTAGACATGACAGACATGAACCTGCCATTGGTCTTATCTACCCTGACCACCATATCAGATCAACCACCCGGCAACCAGCAATAAATACAGAATGTCAGGTGACCAGTAACCTGGCAACAAGCATTGCAGAATGTCAGGTGACAAGTAACCTAGCAACCACTAATACTTAGCATCAGATGTACATTTTTATTTTTATCCAATATGTTTTTTAATTTATTTTACTTACTGCGTTAAATGCTGGAAATTCTTTTTAAATTTTTCTATTTTTTTTGTGGTATTAGAACAAATTGTATAATTAACTTGTCAGCTACAAAAATACAAGCCCACATATTTTTTTTTCCACAATAATTAGAGGTAAATGATAAATTAACTGTTTGATTTAGAACTAATTGAAAACATAAGAAATGATTGTTTTTCACAGCAATTTTCATTAGATAAATTGTAAAAAAAATTATACTGTAATTTTGTGTAAAAGGGTTAATTATTCACTGGGTTTTAATTTTGCTTATTTCACTTACTGGAAAATGCACTAAATTAAAACACAGTGAATATGTAAAATTTAGCATAGAACACATTATCTAAATGATAAAACCATGAATATGCCTGAAATGGTTAATCAGCAAAATTTAAACCTAGTGAAAATTAGTCATTTTACAGTATCCTTGGAAGAACAAAACGCCCAAGTTCAAATGAAGGTCAAGTATTTGAAGTATTTTAAAAACCGAATAAGATAAGACTACCTTTAAGTAGAATACTAAATCATTCTTTCAGCACAATACAAACATATATTGGTATTTTAATACAGCGAACAAACACTCAAGTTGACCAACAAACAGCTTTTGAAAGACAATTGTTACCAGTAGATTTATGAGATGTGTGTTGAAAAGAAAACTAAGGTTGAATTAATTTAATTATAAAATTGATATTGTTCTCAAGTTTTATTATCAACAAATAAACTGAAATGTTTTGAATAGGTACAGGAAAAGTGCATGATTGTTGGTGTTTCAGGACAAGTTAAAAAATAAAAACAACTTAACTTTAAATAAATCACTAATAATATAAATAGTTTATCAACAAAATTAACATATCGCCCACATACAATGATATTTAAAGGGTGACCAAATAATGATTTTTATTTATTTCACCTTTTTGGCAATATCTTTACTTTTTGTGAATTCATTTCACAAGTTATAAATGAAATCATTTTCTCAACGGTGACTACGATGTCATATTTTACCCATAATCTTTTGCTGGAGGATACTGATGTGAAATTGAATATCTAGAGAATGACAAATGCATTCTTCTACAATTGTGGAGCTGTTTCATCTGGGAGCATTATGTTGTTTTTATGTTGACTTTTCCTTTAGATGCTTGATTTTATTTCAGCAATAATTTCGCTTTCAACTCTTGGCTGTTTCATCACTGTGGAAACATGTATAAGATATTTTCTCACAGATTGAGTCAAAATATGGTATATTACATCATCAACTTGTATGGTTACCAGCAAGATACACTGTTCTTGTGAATATCTTACAGCCATAGTGGCTGCTACTGTGTGTACATTCAATGGTTCTCTGCCAACAACAAATTTGTTTTGAAAAAAATAATTTAAATTACTGTAATCCATCAAATTTTGTGATTTAAGGATGCTTATGCGTAAATTTTATGAAGGACCCCCGTGAATAGTCTGCTGATTACTTAAAAATTCTCTATCTGTATTATTATTTTTTATTTAATTTTTTTTATTTAAATATATCGCAGTTTATATTGTCAGAAGTTGTTACATTTCAAATCATAATAAAAGTTAAAATTACATATCACAAAAAAATTCTGTTCTCAAAATATGTATTTTTGACAAACCAAATACATTTTCTCCTGACAATGGTTCTTAAAGACTCACTTATATATGTGCGATCTTTTTTGGGGTATATAAATATTTGTTATTGTTATAATTATTCACTTCATTTTTTGTTTGGTATTGTTAACTATTTTGCCAAATTTTATAATTTTCCATGAATCATAACAATTCGCAAAATTAAAGCACAGTATTTAATTAATCACTTTTAGCTTTTGTTTTTCAGAAACACCAAAAAAATGTGTTTTTGTTGTTGTTTTTTGTAATGGAGGTCACCTTAATAAATACCAGTAGTTGTTATATAACTACCGCTAATTGGTGAACCACTTGTCATACCAGTGTTAAATCATGTAACAGTGAACAAGTCCTACCTGACACGTTGAGATTTCAAGTTAAAATCAGTGAATTCAGTTTTTTCAATGCCATTTAACAGACAACAACGTATTATCAATAAATCACTGGTGGTGTATGGCAAACACTAATTAAAATAAAACGAACAGAGAGCTGGAAATTCTCAAGCCCGGGAACCCTAGCAACTCCGAGTGGCTACAAGTGTTATCAAAATGGCATCCCCATAATGTTAACAATCAGGTATTCATTCCGTAACAAAAAAACGTCGCGTCAATCGAGAATGAGGACTTTTACCGCCAAGTACCCCCACTGCCAGGACTGATTATATTATAAATGTGCCGAATTGTGCCAAATAGGTGTGAAGGTAAAGGTGATTCGAGTGAACAACTGCTGACTATGAATCTTTTCTCGGGACGTTATGTCGCGTCCGTGTTGTTTACCTATTTGGCAACTGTTGAAGACTTGGTATGTTTTTAGTGTTTATCCGTCATACTTGGCTGATTGAAGAATTTACTTCGCGATCATGTGTCGTGGGTATTGCAAATGCAATGAAAAGTCACTCAACTTATGATACAGCACAGTGGAAATAAGTCAAAACATAAACACTGCCAGTGGTAACAGTCGTCTGAACCGGTGGACATTGGACACCGACCCGCGCTGACTCAAAGGAGTCGGTCGTGAGACGGTATGACATTTTAAACAATTATAGTAGTGAAGTTGTAAATAAATTCTAATCACAACTATTGTCTACATGTGCTTACCGGTACTGTCGTTTCTGTTCTCGTCACGGAACTACTATAATACGGCACATCGTACTGTGAAAGCGTCGTGCTCACATCTCGACTGCTTGATTTCGGCGAAGACGACGAATATCGAAACTTTCGTCGGGGCAAGTCATCGTCGTAGTTAACAACACACAGTGTTGGGAATTGACTCATTGGGAAGAAAATCCGCTGCACGACACCACAGCCTCTTACATTTTCCTGTGTTCTGTGTAAGTTGCCGTGACCAAACTGGTGTAATTTGTTGAAACTAACGGATAGCTTTCCACGGGACAACAGACACCAATACCGCGTTCCGTCGTGTTGAATGTATCGAATCAAAGTATGGGGTCACGGACTGCTTCATTATAAGAAGGGGCGATGGGTGTCTATTGAGAGGGATATAACACAGTTGTGATTTATGGTGCTGTTACAATACAATAATATTACGCGAGCTAGTAATAATTAATGGAATATATTTATCATTGATGCAAGTAGTTGACTAATGTTCGAAGCATACTGCAAGGAAAAAATGCAAAGCACTACCCTCTATCAAAGTGAGACGGTCCACCGGGGCTGGGCCTTTGTCCTGGCGGAGTATCAAAGACGATGGACAGGAAGCTAAGACAACTTGAAAGACAAATGCTCGTTGTCGTTCCCCCTGAAATGATTTTAACTTGTTTATCACTCTTAGCAACGACATAATTAACACATCCCAATATATCAATGATATTTATATTTAAAATTGCACTCCAACTTGGAAAGTCATTACTCTCAAAACAAGCTAAAAACAAAAATTGTGTTGAAATGATGCTGCTTTAACTAAAAGATAATATGTTGCTCTTACTTTCCAACATATTCTATTTTTAATGTACTGGAGGGTCACATTCTCTGGACTAACCTTTAAAGACACATCCTCTTCGGTGAATGTCTTTTGTTTACAAGTCTGGCTTATTTTAGGAGGCCTCTTTTTATTCTTATTCCACAGTTACTTTCTCAATATATATCCACAATCTCAATATTTGATGGTGTATATGTTGGCCTGGGCCCGGGGTGTTACCGCACACAAGTGGGAATGTCTCTTTAAGACCAGTATCTAGGAGGGGGGATATACATAAATTATCAATTGAGGACACTGGCATGGTAATGAAATTGACCCTGTTATTCAAATTTCTAGGTATCTATATGGGGAATATATAATCGAAATCCCACGTAAATATTGTTAAATTGTTTCTACGGAGACCAAAAGGATTGTGATATTACATTAAACAAATTAAATAATATTAAAACCACTGTAGTTAAATCGAATGCTCGTCTTTATTTGGTATAAACGCTGTACATGTTCACTTTGATTTACAATTATTTCTCAGTACTTTCACTGTTATGAGGCTGCACCATTACTTTTGACTTTCACTTCCGGGTTTCACGTTTTCTGTACATAATAATATCAATTGTTTTTATTTCCGTAATAATGTAATTTAAATAAAAATCGTAAATTCGTGGGCAAGGTGTAAAACGCAATCAGCTACTGTAAAATGACTAATTTTCACTGGGTTTAAATTTCGCTGATTTACCATTTCAGGCATATTCAGTGGGTTTTAAATTCACGGTTTTATCATTTAGGTAATGTGTTCTATGCTAAATTTAACGCATTTCCAGTCAGCGAAATAAGAAAAATTAAAACCCAGTGAATAATTAATCTTTTTACAGTATTTTATTCGTCCGTAATTTGTACAAAGATATTAATTTTTGTAAGCGTATAAAGCATTTTCCACATTAATTGTCGTCATCCGTACGCAATTTCCAATTTTGATTCTTAATCACAAATTATCAAATATATTTTAAAACACGTAAAAATGTAAAAAAAAAAAACAAAAAAAAAAAAAAAAAAAAACGTTTTGTAATGTAAATGGAACTTTCATTTTATTTTTTGTAAAAACGTAAAATGTCTTTTATTTCCTGTAATCTGTACCAGCTATACCCCTTGCCCTCTAATAAGCTCAGTTACCAGTATTAAGCATTCTTATTAAGAGATGTCGGGCGGCCGAGGGAAAACGTTCCGGTTACTACGCGCTGTGCGTGAGCATTGCTTGGAATCACGCACGCAGTACATGTTGGCTTTCATTTGCAATGCGGTTTATGTATAGATGTTATTTACTTGGTATAAAAATGCTTACACTTTTGAAGGCTCGGTGGAATGCAGTTTTAGGCCTGCAAATGCTATTACAATATTACGTTTTGTGTATCATGTATCATGATGGTCGTAACAGTAATGATGTAAATTTGACAACAACAATTACTAATTTTTATTTATTTTCTTTTTCTTTTTTTATCATCATTTCAAACCAAGAGCGGTCGTGTGTCTGAGGTTGTGATTTGTAATAAAATATCTTCAATTTGACGTCATCTTGTTATTGTTCTGTGTAGCCGTGGTATTTTGGTAAGCATATATTTCGTGGTACTTTGGTAAGCAAGTATTCGCACACTAATGGCCAGACTGTGTCGCTTCCAGTGCCGTCAAACGTCTTCAGTATGCCCTTGTCTCTGAAAAGTAAAACACATATTATCGTTCACTGTATAGTTTAAAGACATTCGAATATAGAGGTCGCTGTGCAAACAGGATCGTGATCGAATCAGACCCATATATTATTAGAACTGTCCCAGTTAGTACTTGAATGAATATCAGTGTGGTTTACACTCGTTCAGGTACCCAGTGCTATTATTGTGCAACCAACTAAAGAGTGGTATAACATCCGCAAAAACATTTACATTTACGAACATTTAATATAAAATTAAACTTTCAATACTTATAAGTGTATTATTTGTAAATTGTAGTTTTATTTTGTTTTATACTCGGCTGTAATAGCGCCTGATGCATGGTTTATTGATGGGGTCATTTGTAGTACTAGTTGGGATATTTAATATTATTTGTTTCAATACGTTTATTTTCCGTCGAATTATAAGTATATAAGTAATTGCATCATTTAAAACGTTCTGTCCTATAATTGGGATACAATTTGTTTTTGTTTTTGAACATGTCTGTTTCCAAGATACAACATATGTATTCGGGTAATACTGTTGTCTGAGATGTGAAGAAAAAAAACAAAAGTGTTCCACATTACAAGTTTCAACTCGTGATGGCGTTGTACATCGACATACCGATAGAATTCCAAAACAGGCGTTATTTGTTGTTCGTAGCTATTCAATCTCTGTCGCACAGTGTCAGGTTTATCGTCTTGTCGCTGGACCAGTTGTTCTCCAGTGACGTCATCAATCCCCTAAAAGCATAACAGACAAATGTAAGAATACAAGACGGTCCAGGGCTGTAATTTTACAAAAGGTTAAAAAAGAAATAAGGTCACAAAACGATGTTGGCATGAAATGAATACGCCAACGGCTGGACACTAAATCCCAAGTAAAACTGAAAGTGTAATAACATTTTTTTACCAAACCGTTTTATTCAAAAAAAATATTAAATCATGTGTGAGAGCCTTGGCTTTAACTCGAGCTTTTTTTAGCATCAAAATAAGAAATGACGACAAAGCGGGCAAACATCTGTTGTGGTTAATTATATGGACAAAATAAATCACGTTCCATAAAATAGAGATAAAATCCATAATATTTTGAGATATACTAATCATTACAAGAGTTTGTCCACTGATCCCACCAGTGAACATCTATTACGCTATCAAATTAATCGATCGTTCGATCGATAAGTAAGAAGGCCAGAACTCCAGTACTTTTTATATTTTACCCCAAATCCATGATAAGCTTAATGCCCCTGATAAACCTGTTGTCTCGGCTGATAATTCACCCTAAATGTATCTCACTTCGATTATCATCCCTTGCGAGAGCTAGCGAAAACGTTGCCTTCTTACATAACATGTACCACTAATGTTCTGAGCAATTTTCTAGGCATGTCAAAACATCATAGCTCCATTCTTTTTGATGTATCATCCTTTTATTCTAATATAATCCCACACGAGGAGGGCTTGACATCCCTCGAATCTTATTTTGGCAGGAAGTTTTCCAAAAGCGGACAATAAATTTTCATTAAATGCCAAATATTACTGCTATGATCACGGGGAGGGTCTATGGTGATTTATCTACGGTTGACTTGAAGAACGCCCCTTTCAGGTAGTCTGTTTGACCTTATTTCGTGGAACTTATACATTGAGGACATATTTTAGTTGTCGTGTTTGCGAATGATTGGGAAAGGCCATAGTTTGACTTAGTGATTGTATTCACGCGTGGCGGAAGTGACGCTATTTTCGATGACACCGTGACCTAACGAATATTACTGCCCACGAGACTTAATCACATGATCTCTGTGACGAATGGGGGGGGGGGGGGATCTCTGAATAAAACATGGTACGCAAGCTGAAGTAAAAAAAAAACGCATAAATGGGATGTTATTTAGTTATTTGACGCGTATACCATGTCATGTTACCTCAACTTGGAAACAGTATGATTTTTATCTATTTTAAGTTTCTGCACTTGAAAAGAGGGATTTCACAAAAATAAGTACGTGTTTAGAGGGTTTTTTAAAATGCTATACTTTAACATTGGTACTAGGTCTGACTAGGAGTACACCCCCCCGTACCCCCCCCCCGGGGGGGGGGCGTATTCCAGACTCACCATGACTTTTGGCGGATTCCACAGTAGGTTGTATACTGTTCCGCTACGTGGATGAATCCATCGGCTTTCCAATCTCTCAATAATGACGTCAAATGGCACTCGTA